GGTATAATTTCTTCCTTGAATGTTTGGTAGAATTTGCTGGTAAGTCCATCTGGGCCTAGTGCTTTCTGTGTTGGAAGGTTATTAATTATTGATTTTTTATTTAATAGATACAAGCCTATTTAGATTATCTATTTCTTCTTGTCTAAGTATTAGCAGATTGGGTCTTTTAAGGAATTGGTCCATTTAATCTAGGTTATCAAATTAGCGAGCCAAAAGTTATTCATAGCATTCTTTTATTATCTTTATTATGTTAATTTTCATGGGATTTCTAGTCATGTCTTCTCTTTCACATCTGGTATTAGTAATGTGCATCTTTTTTTTTATTATCAATTTTATTAACCTTGTGTAAGAACCAGCTTTTGGTTTGATTTTGTCTATCGATTTCTCATTTTCAATTTTATTTATGTTCTAGTGCTTTTTTCTTGTTATGCTTATTTTGGCTTTAATTTGCTCTTCTTTTTCTAGTTTCCTGAGGTGGAATCTTAGATTAATAATTTAAAATTTTTCTTCTTTTCTAACATAAATATTCAGTGCTAAAAATTTCACTCTAAGCACTGCCTTCACAGAATCCCACAAGTTTTGATAAGTTCACTTCATTTCAGACTAATTTTTAAAACCATCGTGACAGTCAAGCAAAATACATGGAGGAGAAAATCTCACTCATGGCCTCAAGATTGAAATCTTGCTTTAAAAAAAAAAAGTTTGTAGATTATTTTCAGTCTCTCTCTGATGATTTTTCAGGTATGCTTGGCAACAAACATTTATTGAAGGATTTTTATAAACATTTCCTTTGGTGTGCTCTTTAAAACAAAATGCCACCAAACCTATGACATTTCATTTATTAATACTGAAATAGGGCCGCTTTCTAATATAAGCCTCTGTCCTATGTTGTTTGTATTCTGCCTTGGTATAGCAGTTTTGTGCTATCCATACCCTGACAACGGAAAATTGTTGCAAACTTATTTTAATACTAATAATAGTTAATATTTACTGAGTGTTAAATGGACCTGACCCAGTTTCAGCTGTCCCCATTATCCACCCCTCCATAGTGGTTCCAAAGATGTTCCTTTACCCACAAACATATATAAAGTCTACCCTTATTGTAAGAATGAGGACACTCAGGCTCCAAGAAACTGAGTTGTCCAAAGTTAAATGCGCTCTTGGCATTTGGACATGGCAGCATATTCTAGTCACTAATTATCTAATTAAATTTACAAATCTTACACTATGTAAGTGTAAGACTTGTCTCCTTAGTCACAAAGTCTCCCCAAACAAGTAAGAGCATGCTCGAGGAAGGAAGGGAAACCTGGGAAAAGAAAGGCAATGGATGACCCTTACAAAGGTTGCTTTTGTGCTGGTGAGACCAATGTCCTGAGACAGTTGAACTCTATTTAAACTTAATACTTTCAGGGGGTTAGTAAATTTATTGAACTCACAGGCTGAAACAGTCTCAAGAGCACTGTTTATTCAGAGGAGACATATTAATCCACTAAGCTAATGCTTTAACATAAAAGGTTGGACTTAACTACATTAGCTTCAGTGACCCAAGTGATTTTATATGTTTAGACAAAATAAGTTTTGGTGTGAGCAACATACGGAGAAGGCAGCAGCACCCCACTCCAGTACTCTTGCCTGGAAAACCCCATGGACGGAGGAGCATGGTAGGCTGCAGTCCATGGGGTCGCAAAGAGTTGGACACAACTGAGCGACTTCACTTTCACTTCATGCATTGGAGAAGAAAATGGCAACCCACTCCAGTGTTCTTGCCTGGAGAATTCCAGGGACAGAGGAGCTTGGTGGGCTGCCGATATGGGGTCTCACAGAGTTGGACACTACTGAAGCAATTTAGCAGCAGCAGCCGTGAGCAATAAAAAAAAAAAAAAAAAAGAGCATCAAATTTTGTGTGTGTGTCTATGTGTTCCATCTATTGGGCTAAATTTGTAAACTTGGCCTGTCTATTACTTTGAAAATCACAAAATCTTCCATGCTCTGAAACATGTATTTGTTCTGAAAAAGAAATTACCACCAAAATTCTGTGCTTATCTGGATAAAATGAAAGTTGCCTGAATGTGTTTAAGTGGGAAATGCTGCATAAAAGAAAAGATAAATTGTGACAACTTGGGTGTCCAAATAATAATGAAATGAAATTATATCTTAATTACAATTAGAAAGGCTTGGAGAGTCTGAAATGTGTGTCAAACATTTGTTTTCAGTGAAGTTTGCTCCTTAAATATGTTGAAATATAATTTTCACTAAATCTTAATAAATCATTTATGACAGATGTTAAGTGTATCAGTATAACAGGATCATGCAAAGAAATTGGTAAATTCCATCCTACTAATAGCATAAGGCAAAACAAATGTGTGTGATTAACAGTGACAGTTTGAGAAAATAACTCAAAGCAATTTAAAGACTCAGGAACCTAAAGGATCAAAAGAAACACGTTACTTTCATTGGGTGAATAGAAGTAACTTTAAAATTAAGATTGTTATAAGATGCTACTCAAAATGAGCTACAGGAAAGGAATGAAACAGGACCTATTTTATTCTCAAAAAGCCTATTCTGTCAAGGTTGTTGGAGAACCAATTGTTCTCAGGAGTTAGTCAAATAAATGCCTCTGAGCCTGTCTCAAGCTAAAAAATTACATACAAGCATTTAGCATGTATTAGTTTGACCCTGTGGCTGACCTCATTCATGAGATTTCAACAGAGTTGCTGAAAAATTCTTCAACATACTAGCATACCTTAATTGAACATGGCATGTTTTATAGCAAAGGGTATAATGTGGGAAATTACATGAAAACAAGACTGAAAAAACAAATTAATTTAACGCCATTCTATATGCCAGTACCATTCCAGAATTTAACAAGAAACACAAACCATATAACCACTAAATTCTAGTTTCATTGATCCAAATCCCCAAGGTATCCAACCCACCCCACCCATTTGTCTCATTTTAAATATTTACGAACACAGCTTTTTATCTGGAATAATTATCAGTTGCTAATTGTTATATTAATAATGGAAAATTAAAATTCAACACTGAAACAGATGGCCTCACTTCCGCTTCACTCCAATCTCTTTATGTTATTGAAAATGCTCCTAAAAGCTAAAAACTATTTATCAGTTGGATGGGTTTTACAATATGTTTGTTATTACTCAAGATGGGGTGTCAGTGAAAGCTTTTCTTAGTGAGAGGCAGTAATTTCAATCTGGATAAAGTTCACAACGTTTTTCATAATGTACGCCTAAACATAAATATTTTCTGTCTGTATCCAAGAAAAAAATGGAATCTCTTACTCTTTGATGTTTTATTAAGTGTTAATCTGGTGAATATCTATTCAATACTCAGTGACAATGTAGGTCATACATTTGCATGTATTTGAGAACATCTCTTTATGGTCTGTCTGGGATTTGAGTCCACATGACTACTGCCTTCTCTCTCCATTCTGAGACTCCTTTATGCCCTTCCACCACATGCCTCCCTGACAAAATAGGCACTACGATTCTGCTTGGGGCTCAGACACCTTCCCAATTAAATCATCCTCATCTCTTCATACACTGTATGACTGAAGGCCAATAAAAGCCTTTCTAACCTCAAAATGCTACATATCATAATTTTAAAAACTACAACAAAGACATAAATGCAAGTTTGATTCTTATAAGCCCTACTTACACATTTTACAGCACTGTTTTATTTTACTATATGTATTCATTTTCCATGCACATAAGAAAATTTAATAGTTATTATTTTCATGCAAAAGGTACTCAAACATGATGTAATTGGCAGCAAAATACCTTACACTCTATAAGTCAACTATAAATATTTTAGTCAAATTATTTAGGTAAATAACAGTAATGTCAATTTTTATTTTCTTAAAACAGAACTTATTTTGTGTATTTCCTTTAATCAGAAACATTATGAAGGATATTAATAAGATAAATATGTGTCTATATTATTTATATCAGCAATGTTTTTGTTTCTTTTCATCAACCAATTACATTTCAGGATAGAAAACATTAAAATTAGAATAGCCAGCTTAATTTAGCTGTCACCTTATTACTTATCAGTAGATGAATATTCACTCAGGATGTAGTGCTTTCCTGCTTTTTCAAATCAGAAATCATTTCTCAATTGCAAATAACTTAGCAAATAGATACCATTCTTTCTAAATCTGCAGAAGGAATTCTATTAAAAACTTCATTCTCTCTATAGCACTCCTATGATAGCTTTCTTGAAAAAAACCACAAATGAGACAGAATTTTGAGATGGAACTTTGCCTCTGATAAACATCGCAGGCCTTAGTTTTGGTGCTAAGAGTTTTTGAGACTCTTAACCCTGAAGTTTAAGCAAATGAACCCCTTCTGGCAAGTTTTGCAGTCCCTAGGCTGTGGGCCAGCTCTGGACAGAGTTTTACTCTGAAATCCTGCACTGATGCTAGTAGAACTCTGATGTTTTTATTTCCACAGTAGCAACCAGGAAAAGGGGAGATTCTCAATAGTAGCAGGGCAGCATGAAGTGAAGGAAGTAAAGTGTTATTTGTTCAGTCATGTCCAACTCTTTGCAAACCCATGGGTTGTAGCCCACCAGGTTCTTCTGTCCTTGGGGTTCTCCAGGCAAGAATACTGGAGTGAGTAGCCATTCCCTTCTCCAGGGGATCTTCCTGACCCAGCAATTGAACCTGGGTCTCCCATATTGCAAACAGATTCTTTACCCTCTGAGCCACCAAAAGGTCAAAGCCAGAGATGTTATGCTGAGCAAGAGATGGGAAAGTGAAAGAGCAGCTGTGCCTAAGAAGATAAATCATGCACCAAAAGCATGAAGAATAAGGCCCAAGTCAGGATCCGGCCCCTCAAATGGCTGAAGGCAAAAGGTTCAGGATGAAAACCATGCCCAGTACGTGGGTGTTTGGTGACACCAACTATGTGATGTAACAATGGGCTCTGTGGTTACTAGGATCCTGTAAGGCTAACCGTAAGTTTTAGTTCCTATTTTGTAGGCAATAATACCAAAAAATCCCAACTAAGAACATGACATGATCTGACACACAGTTTAGAGGTTCTACTCTAGTGTCAATATAAGGTCAAGGGTAGCAAAAACATTAGGGAGCAAGAAATTACAAAGGTAGAAAGAACAGCACTCGAATTGGGGTATGTTTGAAGACATTAATTGAATAGAATTGATAGTAATTGGTAAACAATTGTCTGCTGGGGCTGTGTGGGGTTAAAGTGGTATTTTTATGTTATTCCCAGGTTTGGCTTGGCCAGATGTAGAGGTGGTAGTTCTATTCACAAGGATAGGAAAATTTAGAAAGAAGGTAAGATTTTTTAGCAAAAATAATGGGGTCATTTTTAAAGGTCTTGTTGAACAAAGTAAAAATATCCAGACCAAACCAGAGACAGACCACTCCTTCAGCCACTCTAGCTTGGTATACCTCCATTCTTGAGAAATTAGAACTTGTACCCAGAATATCACTGTGGAGTATTTACTGGGCAGTATTCATAAACCCACATTCTTAGTCTAGCCTGCTTATTTTTTAAATTTTTATTGTAAATCTAGTGTTTGTCAGTGAATCAACATCTGGCCTTAAGAATCCCCATTCATGGCTATGTACAGATATAACTCTCCTAAGTGCATGCTAAGTTGCTTCAGTCATGTCCAGCTCTTTGCAACCCCACAGATTGTAGCCCAGCAGGCTGCTCTGTCCATTGGATTCTCCAGGGAAGAATATTGGAGAGGGTTGCCATTTTCTCCTCCAGGGCATCTTCCCAACCCAGGGATGGAATCAGAGTCTCTTGCATCTCCTGCATTTTCAGGCAGGTTCTTTACCACTAGCGCCACCTGAGAAGCTTTAACTCTCCTAAGTGGAGCTTGCCAAAAGAAATGGAACTTGCCATTTCTGGTGTCCATATTCATACATTGATGGTGGACCTTGTATTCTTACTACCTTTCTGAGGAATACTTTGACAGAGCATACCAAAAGTCTTAACATACATATATTCCATGATCTAGCAATTCTATAAATTTGTCCTAAGGAGATATCATAGATGTGCACAAAGATCTTTGTATGAGAATATCTAGCACACTATTAGTTCTAAGAGTCAAGAATTTAAGGGCTAGTCAATGGAATTGTTTCATGACCAACTGGAAATAGCTGATCCTCTCCTAATCCAGTTTTCCCCTATTTGAATGGACATGCTTAATGTGTAGATAACACTGCCTTCCATCCTCCCTTAACCTAAAGTTTATTCTTTCCCTCATGTTCCTTCTATCTGTTTTATGTTTGATCCACTCTAAATCTAAATCCACACTTTAAATTTCACCTGTCCCCCATCCAGTCCTCATAACTCTCATCAAGGTCTACAGTCAAAGCTATGATTTTTCCAGTAGTCATGTATGGACATGAAAGTTGGACCATAAAGAAACCTGAGTACCAAAAAACTGATGCTTTTTAACTGTGAAATTGGAGAAGACTCTTGAGAGTCCCTTGGACTGCAAGGTGATCAAACCTGTCAATCCTAAAGGAAATCAGCCCTGAATATTCGTTGGAAGGACTGATGCTAAAGCTAAAACTCTGATACTTTGGCCATCTGATGCAAAGAACTGACTCATTAGAAAAGAACCTGATGCCGGGAAAGATTGAAGGCAGGAGGAGAAGGGGTCAACAGAGGATGAGATGGTTAGATAGCATCACCGACTCGATGGACGTGAGTTTGAGCAAGCTCTAGGAGTTGGTGATCGACAGGGAAGCCTGGCGTGCTGCAGTCCATGGGGTGGCAAACAGCTAGACATGACTGAGTGACTGAACTGAACTGATACTCAAGTGCAGGTAACAATATAGGTAGAACACCAAGTCCACTGTATGCTTCTCCACTATTCCCCAAGATGAGACGTCTTTACCACTCTCTGAACCCATGGTCTTTGTTTCTTGTATTCATGAAAGAGTGATTACAAGGATGGAAATTCGAAACAAAGCAGAAGACAGCAATGCCATGGAAACTAAGTAAGGTAAACAGGAAATGGAGATTTCTAGTATCCCTCTTTCATCTGGTCATTTATTCCATTCTACCACTGGATCCATCCCAGTCTCTGATCCATTGGAAGGCTGCTTATATACTGTTTCTCTGGAAAGTTAAAATAAGTCAACATTTCCAACAAATGTTTATCATGCAAAACATTGTCATTATTTCTGAAATAGATTGCAATCATTATTACAGACAGATGCTTATTGAGAATATGAATACAGCCAATACCTCCTTGAGTAGTTAATGACTATCAGTCAGCTAATGAAATGAGAACACTAACATGAAATTTAGCTTTAGATAGTTAAACTATTAGACGAATTATAAAACTTTCTAAAATATACTGTCCTAAATACTGCCCTTCTCAAATTCCAGAGCCACCCATGGGAGCCACAGAAAATTAATAAGGGTGCCACAGGATATTTTAATCTTCAAAGGAAACACAGTGACATCTGTCAGATACATGCAGAAAACAGCTCTGAGATAGTTCAGTTTCAACATATACATTCCTTTTGATGTCACATTTTTTACAGTTTTATTTAGATACAATTAACATATTTGTATTATAATTAACAAACTGTATTAGGTTTAGGTGTACATGAGTGGGTGCTCAGTTGCTCAGTCATCTCTGACTCTTTGCAACCTCCTGGACCGTAGCCAGCCAGGTACCTCTGTCCATAGAATTTCCCAGGGAACTATTTCTCCACAACCTGGAACGGGTTGCCATTTCCTACTCTGGGGGATCTTCCTGACCCAGGGGTCAAACCTGCCTCTCCTGCATCTCCTGCTGGTGAATTCTTTGCCTGGGAAGACCCTTTAGGTGTACAATGTAATGATTGAATATTTGTCTATATTGCAACAATGTCATATCTTTGTGAAACATTTTCAGCAATTGCTGGGATAAAAATTAAGAACTAAAAAAAAAAAAAATCAATATAAAACAAGAAATGAGAATAGTAGGTCCATATTACTCCATGGTTTGAGGATTTGTGCAGTGGCACAATCATACACATCAGTTCAGTTCAGTCACTCATTCATGTCTGACTCTTTGTGACCCAGTGGACTGGAGCATGACAGGTCTCCCTGTCCATCACCAGCTCCCAGAGTTTATTCAAACTCATGTCCATTGAGTCAGGGATGCCATCCAACCATCTCATCCTATGTTATCCCCTTCTCCTCCCTTCCAAGTGTACTGTTGGTACACTCCTACTATTGTTGAGTTCCTGATTAATGCACTCACTGAGTTTATTCCTGCCACGTTCTCTCCATAGTGATGGTTGGACTTTCAGGAGCTTTGTGGTTTTGTAGATCTTGACTATATTGGGGCTGGCTCTCTACAAAGGTTTAGATTGTCTGTGGAAGCAGGATCTATTTTCAGCCCCCTTTCAGGGGTTCTGCTTTCCTAATTCTTAACCTGCCTATTTAGGATGTGCCATTCAACCCCCTAGCTTCTCCAATGAACCTGTTTTGGATTATTTTTGATCTTACAGATGTCTAGCATGAGTTCTAGGGCCACAATTTTTTCCCCCAGACCATCCTGAAATCTGTTTGTTCCATTCCTGATGCTTCTTTCAGCCACTAGTCATTTAGTTTATGGTTCATTCTGGAGAAAGGAGGCAGCTGTTCTCAGATTTTGCTTCCTGCAAAGTCCTACGTAGTGCCAGTTCTGTCTGTGTCTGGCAATTTGAAGTAGACCACGTCTCATATTTAGTGCTAATGTTGGTATTGACACATATATTTCTTCTTTTTTAAAAAATATTACCTGCTTGGCCACATTCTAGAGTAGTCATTTTTTCAAGCAGCAGGTCATAAAAAGGACCATGAAATACATTTAATATCATAACCAGCACTAGAAAATATGAATTGAATGAAATAGGAAACCTCAGAATATATCATGTGAAGTGAGGGTAAGTTTTGTAAGACTTGTCATACATAGGTGCCTGTGTGTGTACTGGGTTGTGATCCATCTCTTTGTATGGGAGACAAAGTTTGGTAAACATGGTTCTGGAACAATCNGTGCTAGTGGTAAAGAATCTGCCTGCCAGTGCAGGAGACATGAAATACAGGTTCAATCCCTAGGTCAGGAAGATCCCCTGGAAGAGGGCATGGCAACCCAGTCCAGTATTCTTGCCTGGAGAATCCCATGGACAGAGGAGCCTGGTGGGCTACAGTCCATGGGGTTGCAAAGAGTCAGACACAGCTGAAGTAACTTAGCATGCACACAATAGTAAATAACTGGATATTTAAGAATGAAAAAACCATTGCTTTTTTGAAATAACAATATTGTTTTTCCAACCAGCTTCTATGATGTTAGGATATAAATCCTTAAGTTATTTGGACCTAAATACTCAATATTAAATGAGTCTTTTGGCCTAAAGATGCAGTGAAAAATAATTATTATTTAGTCACTAAGTCGTGTCCAATTCTTCTGTGACTCAAGGGCTGTAGCCCACCAGGCTTCTTTGCTCATGGGATTTCCCAGGAGAGAATACTAGAGAGGGTTGCCATTTTCTTCTCCAAGGGATCTTCCCTGCCCAGGGGTTGAACTTGCATCTCCTGCATTGGCCATCAGAATCTTTACCACTGAGCCACCAGAGAAACCCAGTGAAAAAATTACCAGATACTAAAAGTGCTGTTTGAGTAAACTCCGGGAGTTGGGGATGGACAGGGAGGCCTGGCGTGCTGCGATTCATGGGGTCGCAAAGAGTCGGACGTGACTGAGTGACTGAGCTGAACTGAACTGAACTGAAAAGTACTGTTTACAGGAAAAGCTCAGAAACCTCTGCTCAAATAATATGAAACTCTACATAGACTATACATTATTATTATCTTTTATTTCTTTCATGAAATTGAGTGAAACACTTTTTATGCAATTTTACTTGACTATTACAAAAATCATTTTACTTTCAGATATAAAGTAATTATTAATTTGTATCCAGTTTTGTCATTAAACACTGTTAACACCTCTTTAGGATTTAAAAAAGATAAACATTAAATCCTTAGTTTCAGAGGAATTAATCTGTACTGTGGTTTCATATTTCTGTAAGTTTAAGCAGTACAGACTTTTAGGCAAGTGCCTAATAATTAGTTGCCAAAGAATTTATATGTATGTAAATTTCCCTTCAGCCCTCTCCACTGATATATAAACATAGTAAAGAAACTTTAATTTCATTGATATAAGAACACCTGAGGCAATGCCAATCAAACCCAAATCTTTTGTAAAATTGCAGATGTATGTTTTGTTTTCAATATGCAAACTAGCACCAATTATTCAAATCAGCTTACTTTATGTAAATTAGTATCTTCAAAAACTTCCTTAATCCAGGCAGTTATTAAGTGAAATGAGATTTGCCTCAACTAATGTCTATACAAAGAGGAAAAACACACAAGAGAAATCCTATTATAGCTTCAAAGCTCTGGGTTCTCCTTTGTTTACTTACAACCCTGCCTCTGGCAAGAACAATGAGCAGGGTATAATTATTTTCTTGACTCTCATTTTTAAGTTTTAATTTGACCCTGCATTTTAAGGAAGAGAGAAGAGGCATACAATGCAGGAGCCATTTCGCCTATACCAGTCTGACTTAGGGATTAAGAAACAAAGACATCAATTTTGCCACTAATTCCAAAAGGGACATGTTTAAGAAAACCTTGAAAATCCTTGAAAAATATGACAGATTGATCTTCCAAATGACAGGACTGTTTCATTTCTCAAAATCAAAACCATTTTCATTAGAAAAACAGACTTCCAACTTGAAATTTTTTGCCCTATTAAAATAACAATGTATTTTTTTAATTAAGAGTTTTCAAGAAGATTTACAGTCTTAATATGGATCAAGCACAGAATTTACTGTATCAAACTGAAGTTTATCCAGGAGGTGAAGGTGAGTTCTGATGTGTCTTTCAAAAAAGTTCAAATTGCTATTTATGATAATTAAAGAATAGCCTAAAAATATTAATGTTTGCTACCAAATCCAGTCATTGGTGACAGACATATTCTTTTATTTATGTTCAGATTGTGCATGTACAAATTTAAAACTGACAGACAAAATCTTTATCACCTAGAAGACTAGGAAAACAAGTTGTAACAGTGCTTCTTTGAAAGTGGTGGTTCACATATCATACAGAAAGTAGCACATCTTGATTTTAGGAATCCAAGAGAGTAAAACCCTCTGGTACCATAAAATACACAACTGGGATTGAATCAGGGTGGAATTCACTTCCTAATAGTGTCAGCAGCCTGAGCTGGGGCCAAGGTAGAGTTGCTGCAAGAATTTTGAGGGAAATTATGGGGTGGACCCTTTTATTTTTCTTAGATTTTCATTTTTCCAAGTGATTTTGTGTATTACTTTAATACATTGACGCATTTATTTCAGATTCTCTTATCCATTTCGGTAAAAATTTTAAAAACCTAAACACATGCTAATTGTCACACATACATGCAAAATTATTACTATAATCCCAGTCTCAGATGAGCCCCAGTAAAGGAAAGAGAAGATGATATTTTTGGTCCCCTTGCATTTTTTAATAATTAGTGCATAATATACTCCAAGGCCTAAGTATGAGTCACTCAGAGAAATTGGGAACAAAATCAGAAAAACCATTCTCTGAAAAATTGAACTTTATGTTAATTAATATGGAAGGGATATGATTAGCCTTCTGAAGGAGTGACACTTGAGAGATACTTTGAAATGAATTGTGCAGGAGACTACAGTGTTTCTAAATTTCCTTAAGGTCCCCAGTCCAAATATAATATTACTGTAGCCTGAGCTTTGACATTTTATAACCTGGATAACCACATGCTTGTAATAAATGCAAACAAAATGATGTGGCACTCAGTATGAAGTTTAGAAAACAGAAAGTTGATGAATAATAATGAGTTGGGGTTTATTCAGAGAGACCTGCAATACAAGTCATTAGATATACGTAGTCAGCACTAAAGCAGGAATGATTTCTCTAGTTTTTGCCACAATCTGAAAGAAATATCCTTCAAGCCTACTCAATTTATTTTACTATTATCTCATATGTTCATTCTTACCTCACAATTTTTTGATTAGCACCTTGGATTCTAGGAAAGTTTGATAACAAAAGGGCTATTTTAGATAAGTGTTCTCTAGTGACCTTATTTACCAAAAAAGTTTAATCCCCATTGAATATTAATAAGTTAGCACTTGTTTTATGAATAAAACCATGAGACCTCATAGCCTAAAGTCAGTTCCCACAGAATCTCATCCTTCCTCAGTGAACTGATAGCATCATATCTTGAAACTGGATTCTGTACCCATGGGACTTCATCAGTTTGCAAAAGAACCCTCCCTGCCTGAGCAAATGTGTGAAATGGTTCAAAAGCAAAACCAAAAAGTAATAAGGCATGTCATTATATGTGTATCAAAACCCATAGAATGTACAACACTAAGAGTGAACCCCGATGCAAACTGTGGACTTCAGGTGGTAATGAAGTGTCAACATAGATTCATTGATTGCAATAAATGTACCACTGTAGAGAAGGATGTCAATGGTGGGGAAGATGTGTTTGTAGGGCAGGAATATATATCAACCATTTACACTTTCCATTTAGTTTTGCTGTGAACCTAAAACTGCTGTAAAAAAAAAAAAAAAAATAGTTGAGAAAGAATGAAAGAGAGACTTCCCTGGTGGTCCAGTGGTTGAGAGGTCGCCTTCCAATGCAGTGGGTGTGGATTTGACCCCTAGTGGGGAAGCTAAGATCCCAGATGCCTCATGGCCAAAACAAAACATAAAACACAAAAGATATTGTAACAAATGCAATAAAGACTTTAAAAATGGTCCATGTCTTTTTAGAAAAGAGAGAAAGAAAGGAAGGAAGAGAGGAGGAAGGTAATGCATGAAATTGCTGTAAAAAAGAAAGTGAAGCAAGAAAAAAAAGGAAGGAAGAAAGAGAAGAAGGGTAATCCATTAAATCAGAAGGAGTTAAAAATACACTATGGAATCAAAAAAGACCTGAGTTAAAATCCTGACACTGACCCTAATTGTGTGATAATGTCACCTGACTGGGTGACATTTATCCTCTCCAAGTTTCAGCTTTTTTATCTGTAAAATGGACATAATAAATATGAACCTTCAGTGTTATGAGAGCTAAATGAAATTATATATGTAAAGCATGTATGACAGTGCCTGGCATGTAGTAAGATTTAATAATTTCCAAACTCAGCCCAAAGTAAATCCTATTAAGTTTGGACCAGATTTATGTTATTCTTTATGGTAAAAAGTATAAATTTCACTCTGACTACTCAAGAGCCTAAGACCCACAAGATACAGCAGGCTGCAAGATCAGGCTCCCAGAGGAAAAAGCATTCCCAGATAATAGCTTGTTAGGGATAAAAATCCTGCAAAGCATATTGGTCACATTAACTTTCTTATTAAAACAACTGATGGAAAATTTATTATACTGAGGCTGGACTTTAACAAAATTGCAGATCAAGAGGCTGAGATTTTTTGGAATCAATAATGAAGGGTCTTAATATAAGAAAATGATTGTTACAAAAAATACCAAAGTAAGACACAAATAATAGAAAATGAAGAAGAAGATTAAGTGAATTAAGATGATGAAAGAAAAATTTGACAGAGGTAACACCTATAATCAAGTCTAATGAAAGGATTTGACAATTCACTAATGATGAAACGATGGAAATGAATATCACTTACACTCAGCCATGCTATGACACAGCACAGTGAAACTGAATGTTTTATTCACTACAAGATGTTGTTGAGGACATCTCTCACTACACCCAATAGGGTCCTATTGTCATAGTACCAGGAATAGTCAATAATTTTCCTAAACAATCTGTGTGTGCTTTAAGAATCCTGCGAATATAGTGGCTCTGTTTTCGTCTTCTTGTTGGCTGCTAGGGAAATCTTACAGACTACCTACGTCTTGCAAGGATATGGGGTATTATGACTAGCCCTTGTATATTCACAGATTCCTCCCCATTTATTACTCATATTCCCTTTGTCCAAAGTCTTTCATTTACTTTTATATCATGTTGTAAACCATATACCTTTGTTGTAAGCTGTCTTATTCATATATATATATATATCCTCAATATATCATATTGTCAACCATGTATCTTTGTAAAACATCTTTTTATAACAATATGTGGTTAAAAAAAACCAAAAATTTAATAAGCAAACAGCTTTTATTTATTGGCCTGTCACATGGCATGCAGAATCTTAGTTCCCTGACCAGAGGTCGAACTCAGGCCCCCTGCAGTGGAAGCATGGAATCCTACCCATTGGAATGACAGGAAACTTTTAGAAATTAATCCCAAAATGAAGTGGGTGCTATGTGGATGACTAGGTTCCATTACCATAGCTTTCAAAGCTGTTGGGGTTTTTGTTTTGGTTTTTGGTTTGCTTATTTTCTTTCTGTTACTGGTCTTTGTGTCCCGTCTCACAAGCACCAGACTGCAGGACAGACTGCACAGTGCCAGCTGGCGTGGCTCCCATTACTTCACAGGAAGTCGCGCTCAGGCCAGGGCTCTGCTGAGGGGATGGCGTGGGGTCTGGGGGTTGGGGGTGGTCCCAGTGCAGAGTCTGGTACTGTGCTATTCTGCCTTTTTCATGTGATCAGTAAGAGAAAGCAGTGAGGGAATATGCAGGCTGCCAGCCCCAGGCTGTCTGTTTTGCCTATCAGACCAGTATGATATTTATCTGCAAACACCAAGCTTTAGAGACTTCCGGAGCACACAAGTTGGTGCCATCCCTCTTCCGGAAAGAGGAAGCCCAAGTCCCGTGGAAGCTGAGTTTGTACACTCCTCACTCCCCATCCACCCCTGAGAGACATGCTGTTTCAGGTCTCAGCTGGTTCACTGTCCAGGCCACCCTGAGTGGGCCTGCGAGTCACTTACAGTCACTTCTTCTTGTCTGCTGATAAATGTTTAACAACACTGGGTCTTCAAGGGAGAGGGTGTGAAAGCCAAGGTTCCTAGCATTTGCCAAGGTATAAGTAAGCCTATATGGCTAACTTCAAGCTACCAGTGTGCCCTCATGGCATCGAGTTGAAAAGAGATGTCAAAAATACAAGGGTTGGCTCTCACACACCAGTACAAGGTCATTCTAGGACACCACTTCTTGAGACACGTCTTGTTTCATAAGGTTTCACTAGAAGTCTGCTGACAGTTTGGTAGCACTTGGCCATTTTTTAAATCACTTTTATTCCTTTTTAAAGGATTTAGGAACAGGAGGAAGACAGTAATACCAGATGACAAAGAATTGCTTGCACTACCCCTCACTTGTGAATAGCATTTACAGCATGTAAATGCTGAGAGGGCTATACAAATTTTAGTGTGATACCACTAAAATATAAGGGAGTTGAGAAGATGTTACAGGCTTTACTTATTTATATACATACTATTTTTTGAAAGGCATGGAGAGAAACAGCTAGAGAGGTTGAATAAAAGTAACAACTATATTTTTTATTCCTAAATTTTTTTTATTTTATCATTTAAATACAGACTTCACTATTTGTCCATTATTTCCATAGTCAAAAATAAAGAGTGCTTCTATCCTCTTCCATAAGGCCACAGACATATAGGATTAGGTTTTTACCCCTATGAATTCATTTCATCTTAATCACCTCTGTCAAAGCCCCATCTCCCAATACTGTCACATTGAGGATTAGGATTCCAACATATGAACTTCTGGAGGACACAATTCATTCCATAACAGGCAGCAGCCACTGCATCAGAGATGGAAATATAGTGATGGACAAAAAAAGACCTGGTCCCTGACTTTGTGGAGCTTATGATGTATTAGGAAGGACAGATGCTGACTTGGTCCACATTTTACCTCACACAACACTATAGAAGGCATACTGCTTACCCCAATCTCCTTCATGCCATCCCCA